GATAGTTGCTAATAGCCCGATGCTCGGCCTGTGGCGTCCACCGCCTGGGGCACTGATCTTCGGCGCCGGGAGCAGGGTGGGCGGTGGACAATGGGTGGAGTACTACGTTATCCTTGCTTTCGCCGCCACGCTACAAGGTGGGAAAAGCACAGGCAAGTCCAACCCCCCTTGGGGTTGGCTGTCGCCTGCTGCGTGCATCGGCCGTTCCTGGGGGGCCGGCGCAAAGCGTTGGAGGAACGCGCCGGCTACCATTTACTGTGCGTGCTTGGACCGCCTATGGTCCAGGGAGGAGGGGACGGAGGAGGGAAGGAAAGGGAGGGGGAGGAGCGGGCAGGGAGAGAGGAGGGGGGAGGGGGACGACGAGGACGAGGAGGGGAGGAGGAAGTTCTGCCTCAACGGACTGCTCCTGCGCCGTCGCTGCCCCGGGCGGCTCGGGGGAGGAGCCCCTGGAGGGCCCTCTCGGAGACCTTCGGGAGGACCCAGGAGGCCTCCAAGAACCTCGAAGCTCCCCGGATTCCGCCAGAGATGTCCGGGAGGCCCAGAAATGGTCCAAAAAACCAGAAGCCACCCAAACAAGGAGGTAGTGGGAAAAAGGATGATGATGATGATGATGATGATGATGATGATGATGATGATGATGATGATGATGATGATGATGATGATGATGATGATGATGATGATGATGATGATGAGGGAAGAGAAGGTGGACGGAGTCAGAAGTCAGGAGTGCCAGGACAAGTCCAGATATCTACCTCAGAGCCCCTTGTGGGCCATCAGCTCCAATTCCCGCTTGCTGTAAGCTTTGGGGAAAAGATTCAACTCTAAACGCTTCAGATACTCAGCCCGCGTGGGAGACACCACATTGGGGCATTCACGACCGAGACCGAGCAATTGCTTATCCCCATACATACCACACGACGCGCAGAACCACACATCGAGGTCCTGGTGCAACCGCATTTTGTGGGAGGGGTGGGCCCACCCCCAGCGATGCGAAGCCTCGCCCCCTGAGGAAGCCCACGAAGGGAACCACTGAGAGAAATTTGCCGAAAACATTCTGTCTGGCGCCACGCACGGACCTGAGAGAGAGCGGCTGAGCCTCGACAGCGGCGGCAGCGAAGCCCGGAATCATCAAGGGCGTGGCTAGTCTCGAAAAAGGAGACAGTGGCAGCTGATGGCGGCGGCGGCACGACTAAGGGGGGGGGGGGGGGGCTGACCTACTCTCCCACGTCGGCGCCTACCACTACTACACACGTGCACAGGGGACTCGCTCTCTTGTTTTCCTTCGGCCAGGAGTGCATCGAGCGAAGCACGTATGATACGCATGCGGACCCAAAAGAGGTCCTCCTCCAAGGACAAAATGGGGGCACGGACAGCCTGCGGCAGTCTGCACTGCTCAGCACCCCAGTTGGCCAGCTTGTCGGCCGCAATATTTCCTCTGACGAGCCAGCCAAGGCCTCGGCCCGCCGCAACATCAACGGCTTCGAGGTGGCTGTGAGTGAAAAGAACCGTGACATGGCCCTGAGATCGGCACGACATGACGAGGCCGACCTCGGCCCAAAGATCTCCGTTCTCGCCAGAGGGGTGGGCAAACCGCCGGCTATGCCACCCGTCAAAAACAGCTTTGTTGTCAGTGACGTAAATAAAGAAATCGGTAGCCCACCGAAGGGCCGTGAGAAACATGAAAAACTCACCCCTGGGGACAGTCTGCTGTGACCCAGGGGGGCTGCCAGAAACAGTGCACTGCAATTCCAGGCGGCACTCGTCCGAAAACGTGGCCAGGCCGAGCCCGACTCCGCGAAAACGCGGGGACGCAGAGTCGGGCCCGCCGCTGGCATCTCCGAAAGCAAGCACTGGGCGGTCGACTGACCCAGGGCCGAGACACCCCTCAAAGACGCCGTCGTTGAGGCCGCTGGTCCACCAGCGCGCTTCAGACGGAGGGGGCGGCACCTGGACACTGGCGGCAGGCGCCGGACCACGCAGCCAGAAAGCCTCCTCCGCTCCACATTGGGCCACAACCCTCGGGCATAAGTAGTCGGACTTCTGGTAGGCCAGCTCGTCGCGATTGTGGTCACACCCCCGTATTATGTGGAAAGCTCTCTGGGG